ATTACCTATAGTGATTTAAAAATATTCTGGAGGTATAATCAGGTTGGTGGTGTGCTGAAGGCATGTTATACTATGCCGTGGAAATCTTTGTAGTCAAAACTTTGCACTGTTCACACTGGGCATCAGCATGAAATGTCTGTTGTCAAATTATACCAAGTGGCAAGCAATTCTTACATATTTGTGATAAATCAGACTTTTAAAAATAATCTTAATAAGCAGATGTTTATGCTGGGAATGGATAGGAACAGAAGTGAGCATTAGCAGTGTTCTGTCTTAAAAAAATGCTTCTGCAGTACTTTTATGCATTCCTGTCACTTTTTTGATGAAGCTTTCTATTCTTTTGCCCAAACTGATAGAATTTGTTCTTTGACCTTTTACTTCTACCCTTACTAGTTTTGCTTTCTCTTCCTCTGTTTCAATTTTCACTCTCCTTCTTGTTTTTTTTTCAGTAGTGGTGAGCAGACTTCTGCAAAATAGTGAACTTGTGTTCTGTTCTTTGCAAACAGCCAGATTTAGGGCTTCTTTTACCCCCTTCTTCTAGAGTTTGCTGTCCTGGAGGAGATCTTGACCTTGCTTTTTTTTTGGTGATAATTCACTTCTAGAAGGGATGTTGTCTTATTAGGTGCTAGAATAGATGGACTGTGCCATGGTCCCAATCTGAAAAGGGACAACAAGATTTGTGGGAAATTTGAATTTTGGGGATTAAAAAAAAAAAAAACAAAAAACAACAAACCCCTCAAAATCAAACACACACACACAAATAAACAAATACACACAGTGGATCTGTGGTGGTCACTGAATCTAGTGGCTCAGTAAACACAAACTGACAACCTGTTGTCTAACTGTGTTGTTTTTTGCTTATTTTATTTGCTCTGTTGTATGTGATGTTAGGTAATAGAATTGAGAGTACACAGACACCATTACTTTCAGTGACCACAAGAATAAATTTCTGTAGTGTAACTGTCCTGAAAGAGAATGCTGGAAATACTAAGAAATTACTAGATGACTTATGTGCTTCTACATCCCTCTGGAGGAGATGGCAGCTCAGTTTATGAAAGATTTTCAGAGTAGACATGCTGATCTCCATGTTACTTAATGTACAGTATGCCAGAATGTCCATTATTGGGTTTCCTTTTTTAATAGAAAAGATGCTGTACTGGCCTTTTCCAAATAAGAAGCATTTTCCTTATGTGCTCCACAAATAATGCAGTTAAGATACCTCAGAATTGCCTATGGCACAGGCTTGATCTGGCCTTTTGTAAAGAGTGCAGCAATATAGCATTTGAAGTTACTTTTTTAAAAACACCTTAGCTAAGTTACATTTGAAAGGAGAAGTGAATTCTGGAGGACAAAACGTTCAGAGGTTTCGTATTATGGAGGTAAGTTCTTATTTTTTATAGCATTAATAGAATTAATGTAACTAGCAGCTCCTATAACAGTATTTTTATGTTGATACTGTATAAATACTGCATTTATGAAAAAATAAATAGAAAGTTTGGGGTCTTGGTTTGACTTTTTAGTTTGACCTTGAAAAACATTCCCAGGTAGAGAGAGTTAAATTAACCCAGCTTTGAAAGAGGAACTTATGAATCATGGTTGCTAGGCTCTTCTTTGAGAGGCATGGGCTTAACATTTACAGTGAAGTATTTTAAAAAGTAATCCTTAAACTTGGTGGAACAGTGCATTTGAAATTACGCTGGTGAAATACTGTAAACGTCATTAGACTTTTAAATAGAGAATTTGCATGTCATTAAATGAAATAGGTATAATGTATTAGATATTGGAATATCAACTGTAAGACTTGTGAACTTTCATTAAGTGATTGAGAGGTGAAGAGGAAAATTAGGCATCCATCTCTTGGTACGTAATTCTTACGTCAGTTTTGTTATACTGTTCTGTGTATATTAGTCTCTTAACATTTGCATGGTCTAAGTTGTCATTCTTATAAGTGCTGCATAGGTGTTTGCCCCATTTGGATGCAGAAACAGAACTAAGATTTCCCTGAAACCTGCTCTTGCTCTCCTTGACTAAGATTACAGTGAAGCACGTTAAGCACTTGGGAGCTTATCTGACTAAAACTGAGGCTCCTGGGTTGGGAAGTATGGATTCTGATCCATACTTCCAGTTGTCCTAACCTAACTGATCTTGGTTGGGTCACACTCCTTACAGTTTCAAACCCATTGTTAAAACTCATGTTCAGGTCTCTGAAGTATTGATACTACTTTTTGCCCACTGGTATCTAGTCTGTGGCCCTTACGGGCTGGTCTCACGTGTTCATGCAGTGCTCAGCATAGTCAGGTTCCAGTGTTACTTGGGGCCCTATGGGTTTCTCTAACAAAAGGATTTGATTGCATCTATTTTAAATAAGTGCTTTGATAATAGAAAGCTATAGTTTATTTTACTTCATATGATAAAACAAAAGGAATTGCATTTAGGACTCTAACCTTCACTACTCCCTTGCTGGTTACGTCTAAATGCTGCTCTGTTATCCATACTGCAGGGGTAGAAGATCTTTTACATTGATTTGTGTGATCTGGCTGGAGTCTTGTGTGTGACTTCCTCTGAAATCATGGTTGTGATTTTGGGTGCGCAGCAAACCCTTTTTTCTGTATCAAGTGGTTTTTCTCTTAGAATGTTTTTTTTTTTTTTAATGAGTTTCTGAGTTTGCTAGTATTCTGGCATTTCTTTCTGTAACCTGGAGCTCTGATTTTAAAACTGAAAATGTGCTTCAGAGTGCAAAGAACACTTGTAAGTTATTCAGATTTCTTGGTATCCCCAAACTGAAATAGTAAAACATTTTTGTTTACATCAATTTCTGTCCATTTGTTTAAAATCTCAGCTCTGTATTGCCAGCAAATATTCATAAAAGTGTACTTGGAGTGAGCATGAGGTCTCAAACTAGTGTCAAAGAGTGTGCTTTATCTTGCAGGAGACACAGAAGTAGGCAATCCTTTTCTCCTGTTAATGATTTCCCCCCTGCATTCTGTACAAGCTGGTGTAAAGTCTGAGTCCAGCGTTGTCTGAAAGGTACAGTTATGAGAACAGGTTACAGGGTGTGGGTTTACAGTTCGTTAGACATTATACAGTAGTAGCCTGTCTGTGTGCTATTAACAATGTAAATAGCAGGCAGTGCATGCTGTTACAGTCCCATTCATCATGGTGTATTAATAGTCAAATGGAAATGACCCTGGAGTTTTTACTTGCTGTGTGTAAGCTTTTTTTATGCAGGCATAATACCCCAAGAGCTTCTCCGTGAAATACTAGCAATGACATTCAAGTTTATAATTTTTTTTCTTATGTAGCTTACTATTACATCACAGAAAGTAGATATTGAAAAATGGTTTGTTATTCCTATCTGATTCCTGCCCCCAGCATATATTTTCTAGTTTTGCCTAGTTTGCAGTAAGTTAGGTGTGCCCAAGGTCTTAATACTTTTAAAAATAAACATAATATAAATAAATAAGCAAGAGTTGCTACTTAATGAAGTAGAAATCAGATTATTATTTATCTGTTTGTATAATGTAACATCAGTTACGAAAAGGTGCCTGTGACTTAGATAAGTATAGCTCTGATATACAACAGCCATGTCAGATGTCCATGGTCATTGTATTTGTGTCCAGTGCAAAATCCAGTGGCAGCTGTTACTGCAGGTATCATGCTTAATTTGAATGTAGCACTAGTAAGGGTTTTGGAAAACCTGAGATAGACCTTCTTTTTTAAAGGAAAGTAATTAAATGCTTATGATGAAGATAATTACTACAAAGGGAGCCCTTGATTCTGGAAGCCGTTCGGTGTGGATACGTTCTTTTGTCTGCGAGGAACAAAGTGGAGTCTGTGGGGCTCTACAGGGCTGACAGCGTCATTCTGCCAGTGGTTACCTTGTGTTATGGCACACTCACTCTTAAAACGCAGCCCACTCTATTTCATAATTAGTGTTCCATTAATGAACAAAAATGAGTGTTGTTAAAAATACAGATAGGCAAATTAGTAGCTTTAAATCAAAACTCTGGTGTCAGTTCTGAGGTAAATAAATTTAACTTAATTTCTAAGTTACTGTTAAGATAAATCTATTGCTTGAGTTTTTGTTTTTCAGAAAATAAATTTTCTTATACCCATTTTAAACCTTTAAATAGCATAATAGATATCTTAGCCACGTGTTTGGCAGTAATGAAATTATACTATTATGTTTGCAGTTTCTTACTTTTTGTCTTCTAATGATCGAATAACATTTTTAGTTATAGAAGTGTAATGTACCTTTAAGTTGTGCAGTAATGGTTGTATTTAATGCTCCAGTAGACTGGATACAGTTCTAACTGTTAAGCTATATTTTTAAGAAACTGTGTTCTTAAAAACAAAATTGTAGAAACTAATTTTATTAGTAAAAGTCTGCAGGTATGTGTGTTATCTCTGAAATTCACACATGCTCTGACATACTGTTATCTCTGTTTCTCTCTCATATATAGCTGTTACACAGATCTCTGGCAGCAGATGGCTGGACTATAATGCACTGTTAAACAAATAAAACCATTAGGCATGTAATACTGCCTAGTAAACAACTGTGTGTTTAAAATGGTTTAAAAAATTAAATAGAAAATAAAGTTCATTTTTGAATTCATTTAATGAAATTAGAATAAAATCCAAACCCCTTTCAGAATACATAAAACATCCCCTCTTATGTTGTGTTTGTCATTTGAAGTCAGTCTTTTTTTATTACATTCTTGCATCTGGTATAAGATAATCAGTCCTAAATCAGTTTTCTAATAGATGTTTTCTACAAGTAATCGCTCATTTTACATTTATCTTTGTAGGAAGATTTTTGCTTTTGTAATACTCCAGCACAAAATTATCTATTGCATTATATGCTCTTTTTCCCTCATTTTCAAATTTGATACAAATGTATTAAAATTATGATTCAACACTAGTGTCATGGCTCTGTAATTAAACTGTTTTTCAATAATTGTCAGCAGCTGAGAGATGCCATTTTGTCTTTTTGTTTTTAGATATGCCAATATTTGGTCTTTGCCCGGCTCATGATGATTTCTATTTGGTGATGTGTAACCACTGTAATCAGGTCGTAAAACCACAGGCATTTCAATCACATTATGGTAAGTGCTTAACTATTTTTAATAATTAAGGGTGAGGTTAAATCAGGATTAAGCCTGGCAATTTTTTTTTTTTTTAAATTGATGGTGCATAGATCATTACATTATTAATAATGTCAAAGAACATAACCCGTGTTTAATAATTTTCTATACATTGTGATGCAGTTACATAAAAATCTTGTTCCTTTTAATTTTTTTTAATGCTTTCCTGAAATGCTGCATACATTTCAATTTTGAAATATATATAGTGTATTTCACAGACAGTATACATAGTGTGTTTGTGTCTGTGTGTCATTTCTCCTTGTGTATTTATACAGATTATTTTTACATGGGTTCTTTTACAGTGTGAACTTGAGCTAAAAGCTGAACTTAGAAATTTTGTGGTAAAACATAGTATGCTTCCAATGGCCAGTAAGCTTATTTATTTATTTTCAGAAGTATCAGTTTGTATTTGTTTTACTGGTCTGAGGGTTTTGTGTATCAGCTGTGCTAGGAAGCTCTTGTTGTGTTGGTTGGTGTTAGCCAGTGTTTATAGAGGACTGAGAAAATGTGAAGTGCTGTGCAAGTTCAAGTGCTCAGTTATATCTCCTGCAAGCCTAACTGGGGGAGGTTGACAGTTCTTTTCCACACTCCTTCCAAAACTAGAAATTAACCTCAAACAATTTCATGACAATATTTGGATAGGAGGTTTTTGGTATTCAGCATTTGTTTCTCGAGAAACTCAGGAGATGTTTTCTGACCAAAAGCTAATGAGAAAGAGCATCTTCTGAACAACTCCTTCCTCCCTCTGTGTGTGTGTATTTGTACGTGTTCCCTTATTTCTAGGCCTGTGCATGTACCAATTGCCTTTGTGTTTAAAAGGATAGAAGGTGCTGGATATGGGTAGAGAGTCTCTTCTAGTGTTGAGAACAAGGGATACCTTTTCTTGCATCTTAAATAATCCAGCCTTTTGGCAAGAAAAGATGTATTTCTGCTGCTTCCTAGAGAATGGGAAATGGTCCTCCTATGCTGTGCAGAGGGTGAACTTCTTATCCTTTCTACCTCTCACTTGTTTGTTTTTGTGTTATAATGCCTTATGGATTACCCCTACCCTTGATGCTGGATTCTGTGGTTGTGTTGCACAGAGTGACTTGGAGAAGAATCTGAATAGGTTTTGTGACCTAATTCTGACTAGTTTTCTTGTTATTCTGTGGATGGCAATACTAATAACATTTTTTGTAAAAAACCATGATTTTGTGGATGTAAGTCTCCCGAACTGTAGGGAGCCGGAAGAAGAAAAGGGCATCAGCTTTTCTTACTCTGGTTGCTGTAAGCCTTTCTATCAGCCAAGAGCAAGTCCACCCCTTGCCAGTGCGATTCCTCACCTGTCACTGAATATCAGTTTGGGATGTCCAATAAGTTCTTCTAAAATATCATATTAAATTGATTCTGACAGTTAAAAATAAATTTATGGGGGAGGATTGGATGGTACTCAGTTCTGAGTGTGTTGGCATATTGAATCTTCCATCTTGAGGTCAGTAGTATGGAACTGGCTCGGGTTGGTAGGGATGTAGAGCTGTGGATATCTGCAGGCGCTTCGGGTTGTTTCTTTGAAATGAGCAGGTGATCTTCAAACACTGACAAACAGGCAGCTGTACTGTAGAAACAAGTATCGTAGTTGTTAGCATGACAGCCTTATGGGCAGATTGCAGCAGCAGTTTACCAACTGAATACGTATGATATTGCTTCTTGACAATGGACATGAAAACATGGGGTGTTGTAATGCTGCTTGTACCTGTGTTGAACTTGTTATGCGAAGTTAATTCAAACTCTTCTGTAAGCGCTATTTGCAATTTGAAAGGGACAGAGAGAAGAGGGAACTACAAAATGAAGGTATGGAAAATATTAAAAGAAAAATCGAAGAATACTAATGTAATGTTTCCAATCTGTATCCCATTGTGGGAGCGTGACCTCTAAACATGAAACTTTCTGTAATGTAAGCCTTACATCAGTGGCAGATTCATACTTTGAGAGAAATGTAGAAGGAGGGGATGGAAATGATGAAGCTATTCTTAGTATTTCTTAAGCCCATTCTGAACAGCGAAGGCGCTCGCTGAGGGCTGCGGTGTGCAGAGGAAACAGGCGGGGTCATTCTGATGAGAAAAACAGGCTTGGGTGGGGTGAACGTCATTAAAGGACTTTAGTTTGCCAAACTAATAGCCTCAGAAAGGTAAGAAGGCTGACTTGGTGATTTTCTGTAGTGTTAGCTCTCACTGCTTTTTATCAGCCTTCACATTCTTGAAACTCTTACACAGTTGTCCCTCCTTTTAGCAAATTGAATGTGAAAGCTGATAAATACGGCAGGTGATTGATTACCAGGCAATGGTGTGGGGTGTTTTTTAATGCAGTGTACTTCAGGAGAAGGAAATTGCTGAGGTCCTCAAAACACTCAGTTCTTTTAGAACAAAAGGTACGCACACTATCATAATAACAAGAAAGTAGAATGCTCTTTGGATTCATCACAGTCAGTTTGCCCTGAATTAGGTCTTTTATTGTGGCATTATTTCAGGGATTAATAAAGGAGAGATCACTTCAAGCTCTGAAAAATTGCAGTGCATCAGTGAACCTTTTTGTGATGTTCTTAGGGTCTTTTATTTTTAATTGTTACCAGAGAAATAGTAATCTCTTTAAATATTCTACAACTCCTGGTGGTATGTATTGCTTGTACTTAGTGTTCTTTGAAACTTGTCATGTGGGATTTTTTCTGAAGTAGTAGGAAATGCTCTTTTAAAATGTCACTTTTGTCAAAGGAAGGCTAAACAAACTATTAGCTACACCTAATGAGCTGATTAATTTCTTCCAAAGCATATTTGTGATAAACTACTTAACTAGATAGGCTGAAAGTGCATTCTGGGACATATGCTGGCTTTTTTCCCTGGACCACAAGTAGTCAGCAATAATTTAAATGTAGCCTTGTTCCTCAGAATATTTGACAGTTTTAATAAAATACTTTATTGATACAAATCACAGATTTTTATATGTAACTGATACTTTTATATTTCATGGGTTTTACTAGAAGATATATTAATTAAAAATTAAATTATACTTTTTGAGGCACTCTGAGTGTGCATTTGGAGTATGAATTGTCATTTTAGTAATTTGTTCTGTACTGTCGGTATATATACTATCATTGAATTGTAAAATTTGGTGACGTGTTTTGCTATGTGTAACACTACATGTAGTTTAGTTTTTAAAAGCAATCTAACACAATGAGATATCTGAAGTCTGTCTGTGGTATTTTCTCTAGCCTGTGAGTAGCAGCTGACTGTACACTCCCAGCAGTTTTACCCTCTTGGCCTAGGGTGGCAGCAGTGCTGGGGATCTGGTGGAGCAGGAGCAGGCCAGCCAGCTGAGGAGGAATTGTTTCAAGACAAATCCTCGATTCTGTCAGATCTCAGCTGCTTCCTTTGTGGGGCTGGACAAGTGATTTAAGTCCTTCCTTGCTAGTAGTCTTGCTTCCACTTTTTGAATGGTTATGGTTTCGTGCTATCTGCATCTTCCTTGGATGGCTCAGGATCAATTCAGAGGTGAAAGATGGAAAAAATATATAATGTTCATGCATTCAGTCTCATGGGTGAAGCACTGGAAACTGCTTACATGACCTATTCTGATAAAACACAGTGTTTTTTTCCAGCTGGAGTATTTCTCATGTGCCAGCCTCTCCAACTTCTATGCTATAGAGACCCTTCCTCTGTACTTAAATCAGGTACATTTCTTAAGTCTCTGCACGGTTTCCTCTCTTTATATATAAATTCTTACAGTAAAAATGACTTTGTCACATTGCTAACTGTCATGTTCCTCAACACAGTGGGATGTGCCTGTGTCCCTTTTATTTCTTCTCTCTTCTTCCCACAAAAACGTGCTAGACGTGATTCTCATGCTGCATTGAAAAGTTACTCTTCGAGCCATCGCGATAGTTATTTTGGGTTGTTCATGGAAACCCTGAAGTGATGTGGTTTTTGGGCTGTATGACCTTTTGGTGATATTTCAGCCATTCTTTGGGTTTATCACATCTTGTGGTTGTCAGCCTTCTGTCTGAGGAGAGCTGCTTCTCTGTACCATCTGGGCTGCTTTGTGGCTCCAAGAGAGGAGATAGCTCGGCAGTGTGGAAGTAGCATCAGTGTAGAGAAGTGGGATTTCTTCCCTCTAATTTTTCCTAGTTTATTTACAGAGTTGTTTGTTTTCTCTGTGCCTTGGTTTCCGTGGCATTAAACTCTCAGCAATAATAGAGAAGGCTACCTGTAAAACTTAAACTGAGAGTGCTTGTGAGTCATGTAACGATTGTGAAAACCATTAGTACTGTACAGATTGGAAAGAGATGATGATAGTGCGTTGGGTTGTCAAGTCATTAAAAAGCTATGTCTAGTGTTTTGATTAACGTCCATAGGTTTGGCATGCAGTGGCAAAGGTGAGCAGCTGCTGTGAGCTTTGCTTGCCACCGCTCTGTGCTCTTGTGGGGAATTGCTCGGGCATTTCGTTTTCCGATCTGTGCATGTTTAAACCTGAAGCATAGGATTCAGAAGTGGGATAATAATACCAGGTTTGCCAACCTTTTGTGATTTCTAGGAGGTTGTGAGATTGGGGTAGAGGTGGTCATTACACAACCTTATACTCGGCCTGGAGAGACTCAGAGGGCAGATCCTGGCAGTAAAGTTGTTCACTTGTGTTACTTGCCTGGGTCCTTCCTGCAAATCAGTGTAAGGTCTCTTGTGAACCTCCTTCATCTAATTGTATAACTGTACTCCTTCCTCCCTCAGCTGGTTCTCACACCCACCTTTAGTTAGCAGGTTTACTACTTTGGCTAGTCATAAGGATTTTCTTTGGTGGTGATGTTAAGTGCTTGAATTCGGAGAGAACATGTGATATTTATCATGATTTTAATTGGGATAAATGATCTGTTAACTATCCCTAACTATTACTAGTTTAGAATAGAATCGAAGAGAGGCAGTGTTTAGCATTGATTA